ATATATACATGTGTAGTAACTTGTATGTTTCATGGCAACAAGATTTTTCTCCTGTCTCGTGTTGAAGAAACAACATTTCACTAATTTGTTTATTTCGTTTATGAAAAACATGAAGCTGATGTCAAAATACTTTAAAATCTCCTGTTCATCAAAAAATACCTCAGCGGGTTAGAATTGTTGTTACTTTACACATTTAAATGTTGAATCTGAGCATAAATAAAGTTGAATTTTACCAGGAAGTATGACACTTTCCATCTGGATTGGAATTTCAAACATGAATCTGTTTCCACTGCAAATGTTCAGCATCTGAAAAGTGAATAATCAGTCCCGACCCGATCAGAAATATGAAACGCAGACTTACTGCAGTTAACGATCTCCAGAGAGTTGAGGGGTATGTCCTCGTCGTCTGCCACGCAAAGCAACATTTGGCTGTACAGATCACCGCGGTCGTCGGTTTGCCACTGCTGCAGCCAGAAAAGGTCACACGAGCAGACGAGGGGGTTGTCCTTTAAAACCCTAAAAACCAAAAATTGTCAGAATGTTTGCCTAAAACTGAAATATAAATACTTTCATGGCAGTCATTTAAATCACTCGTTGTAGCTTTAAACATTTTTAATAAAGCTGTTTGTTTTGACAAATTTAAAGAATTATGTGCTGTAATCCTGGAGGTTGGTGTTTAGTTACAGTGTTCCACGTGTTTTCTTTTGGACATTGACGTGTCTCTCTCCATTGTCATTTCCGTGGTCTCCCTCGGTTTACTACTCACTCCGCACGAGTTTATTCTCCTCGTCTGTTCTCACTCACTAATCACTCTCACCTCACTGATGAACTGAACCTGCTCCGTGTTTGTTGCTTAAATTTGTGTATCCAGCTCTTCGTGCCTTCTGTTCAGATTTCTTTTTAAAGCTTCGACTTCAGCGGCCTGTTTGATTTATTTATTAAAGTTATGATTATCATTAAATATTATTACAGCGCACCAAGTTGAGAAAAAAAAAAAAGCTCTTTTGTTTAATGAGCTTTTAAAGGAATAACGGTAAAATAAATTTTCGGTAATATCGGTCAACTACACTAATTAAGTTACATTGAGTAACCTTAAACTGTCCCTGGGTGTGAATGGTTGTTTGTCTCGTTTGTCTCTTTGTGTCCCTGTGATGGACTGGGACCTGTCCAGGGTGTCTCCCGCCTCTCGCACAGTGACTGCTGGATATTGGCCACCGTTTTCTAGGAAGGAAGAAGCGGGTAAAAGACAATGGATGGATGCATATGCTTCATAGATTGCATAACACAAATAATGATGATGTAAAATCTGCAGTGGCTGAACCAGTGATAATCTCATCTGTCCAGATTAGGGGTCACCAACATTTTTGAGACTTGAGAGCTACTTCAGGGCTACCAAGTGTCACGACAGGCCTACGTTGTTTGATGCCAACATAAATGTGCATGGCTCACCTTTAATTCTATCTTATGTTAAAGACTCCTTACAATAATTAATAATTTACAATAGCAGACATGACAAATCATTATTCATAGTGTGATTCTGTCTGTTCTGCAGCCGTGCACATCTCTGCTGCTGCGCTGACGGGGTTCTCCTTTTGAATCCCTTTGGGATCTTCAGTGTCTCTAATTGTCCCTAGCTGGGACTGGGCCACCTCTTATCATATTATGCTATGTTACTAATGTTATATTAACTGTGTGAAACTGTTTTTTGCAATTATTATTATTATTTTTTTAAATGATGTGGAGCCCAGGAAGAGTAGCCATTGTTATAACTAAATATCTCGACCCAGATTAGGAACAAGGGAGACTTAATGGATAGATGGGTGACTGTGGCAGTAAACACAGATATTTAAACATAAAACATTAGTTCTTTTATGCTAATCTCACTCAGTAACATTTGAAACTGAGTGAGTTTTGTGAATATATTTCATAGTTTTGTAGGAATTAACACGTGTAACATTTATTCAAAATGCACGTTTTTCTCATTAAATAACAGTAACTTGCAGTAACGTTTGTCTTCTTAACACATCAGAACTCTAACTCATGTAGATGCCAAATATCTGTTATATAAGATTTAAAAAAAACTGTCATTTTAAAACAAATCATGCGACTTTAGATAATTTAGTGTGGGTCCTCAGATCTGCAGCATTTTAACTAATCGCATATTCATCAAGACCTCCTCGTGTGAAAATGTCTCGTGAAGAAAGACTACCGTTTGCTCAAAGCTGCCTTTAACTCTGACATTTCCCTGCCCGTCGTACTGCCAGCTGGGTAGTTAGCATTAAAGCTAAGTGTTAGCTTTAATTGTAGCGTTTTGCTGTCGCCACAGTCGCCCCACAAATGAGACACACGCACAGTTGTCTTAAGTTTTTCTGCCATTTCCCTCTCTCAGGGAGGTAAACAAAGCTTGTAGCTATGCGGCTCAGAGATCGCAGTACGCCTGCGCATGATTCTGAACATTGACCTTAGGCTGCTAATATGTATGCCCCCCATATTGCGGCTTCACTGTATTGCAGTTTAAAAAAAATATATATTTATGTATCTTATTCTATATTGCAGTTTTCACTACATCGTGGGATTTTGCGGTACATTCTTTACACTGCTTGTGCAAGTGGAGGCGGAAGCTGTCAGACAATTTTTGGTTAAAGGTTATAAATGTATCATCTTAACATTATTTCCCTTAAACAACCGAATTGTCTCCCCAAACACGCTCTTATTCTGAAGAGCTGCCGTGGACCGTGTCTGTGAAGACCAGGGGTGCCACGTGAGACTACAGCTGGCTGCGAGGACACCCACTGAACTGTAGTGAACCCTGTCAAGCTGATACGGGTATAAAAAGTGAGCGGAGGATGCAGCACGTTGCAGATTCTCGTGACCGGGATTCATGCGTTTACATTTTATGTGTGTATATGCAACCTGTCCTGATATCTGACCTTACAAGTAAAAGTGCCGGAGTTAAATTTTCACCTGCCGTGTGTGATTCATTCGAGTAAAACAAATTGGTGGCTCTGTGATGCACATAGAGGTGGCGATTTAACTTAAAAACATTTAATCAACAACTTTTATTTCTTTTATTTTTAATGATTAGTGCTATTTTTAGAACATGTGTCGTGTGCGACCCACATGGTCCCTGCGGACGACCGGGTGCCCGCGGGCACTGTGTTGGTGGCCCCTGGTCCAGATGAACTAAAGCCACTTCTCCACTGTTAAGTACCGCGCTAATCACTTTGTTTCTATTCAGCTCTACTGAAGTGTAGGTGTGTCTCCACTGAGAGCGTGTCCTTCACTCAATCGGCGGGATCGTGGGAGGGAGCTTTGGTCTAGTTGCTTAGTAGGTATTTAGCAAACATGCTAATAATACAGCCATGATGTCCAGTAGTCGGACTTCATTCTTTAAAATTCGTCATGGCACTGTTTGTAAGTGATAGTGTCCCTCAGCATTCAGCCACAGAATAAGCTGATATGCAGCTCTCCGTCTGAGCAACGTACACGCATACTCAACGATCGGATTGAAAATGGCACCTTCAGGAAAAGTTTGCAAGTACCGCCTTGGCTCACCCAGTGACGTCAATCCACGAACCAATCGACGGCTGCAGTTTGCTGACATCATAATCACTTGCTCATTTCGGTTCGCTTGGATCTACGGCTGAGACGGTTCCAAAAACCAAGCAGGAGCAGGTAGTGGAGACACGTTTGGTCCATGCTGAGACAAAGCGAGCTAGGTAAAGCCACGCCCGTGGAGAAGGAGCTCGATTGGTCCTTTGCAGCCAACAGTTTAGTCTCTTCAACACAGAGCCGTTAATCCAGGAACAGAGCTTGAAGCAAAAGGTTTCAAACAGTTCATACCTAAAGACCGGACTCAGTGTGACCTGTGGTTTGGTTGGATCTTCATCCATCCATCCATTATCTTCTGCTTATTACATAGTCAGTAGTCGGGCAGCAACTTGAGCAGGGAGGTCCAGACATCTTTTCCTACAGCCACCTCTTCCAGCTCTTCTGGGAGGACTCCCAGACCAACCGAGAGACGTAAACTCTCCAACGTGTCCTGGGTCTCCCCTGGGGTCTCCTCCCAGTCAGACATGCCCAAAGCACCTCCCTGAGGAGGTACGCAGGAAGCATCCTTACCACCTCAACTGGCTCCTCTCCATGTGGAGGAGCAGTGGTTCTACTCTGAGTCTCTCCTGATAACTGAACTTCTCACCCTGTCTCTATGGGAGAGTTGCCTGTATCCAGGATATCATTCTTTCAGTCACTACTCAGAGTTGGTGGTCGTAGGTGAGGAGCATGTTGGATGGATGTTTCCTTCAGAAAACTAAATCATATGATCTGGTTCCTTTGAATTTCGTGTAAGAGTTTCAGATGCACTGGTTGATACGTGCAGACACTGATTATGCAACATTACAATAAACCGATACATTTCCTCAGTGGAAGTTTTTCAAAACGAGATTGATCAATAAATCTGGTGCCTTTCAGTCTTTGCAGCAAAGAAAAAGACTCACAGGTTCAGCAGCGGTAAAAAATGAAACACTCTCCAGCTGATGTGCTCCAAAAAGTTTGATGCCAGGTTCCTGTGAGACAAAAAGAAACAAAATTATAACTTTAACATTCTGTTACATGTTGTAACTGCTCTGCACTTAAAGTAAAGAAATCTGCAAAGACTTGCTTCCCCCCGCAAATTTAGTTGTATTCTTCCACATGCTCCTTTTGAGGGACAAAGCAAATGATTTGAAAAATACACACAGGAATGAAACAATTAGCAGTTTGAAAAAGACAAAAAGATCCTGGTAAATATGCTATATTTGCTGCTCTGCGGTCGAGATGATTGCTCACTCCCAGAACAATGTGTACCTGCTCTGAAGTACACTCAGTGGAAACCATTAATGCATCCACATTGGCTCTGATCAATTACTCCGACAAGTATTTCACACTGACCAGGAGCCACATCCACCAGCAGCCAAGGCACACCTCCGTTCTGTGCACGGTACATTTAGGTAATTAGTCCTCAGCCACAAACAGCTCGGGGCTGAAGAACGCTGTTCTTTTTGCAGAAAACAAAACGTTTTCAGACAAAGCAAAAAAAATAAAGATTATTTAGTTTTTCGACAAAAATGTTTTGGCGAATCGTGCTTGGTGAACAGCTCGTCGTTGTTTGGACTGAAACACCGACTTCATAAAATGTCATAAAACGTCATCATTCATCGTCCTCAGAGGATGAACTCGGCTGATGTTTAATGTTTGTGTCTCATATCTTCTGAATTCAATAAGAATCTCTGTTTTTTGCTCTTTCATTCAACTCTGACCAGTTTCCCCACTGATGGAAAACATCCCCAAACCATGATGTTGCCAACACCGTGCTTCACTGAGGGAATGGTGTTCTCAGCACGGCTCCCTTGATAGATACACCACTCCATGTTTGTCTAATTTGACCACAGGACCTTCTAAAGTGGCCTTGTGTTCAGCCCCTCCCATCTCTGAAGAGCTGCTCAGCTCCACCACTGCCATCTTGGATGCTTCCCCGATTGATGTCCTCCTCATCTGGTTTATGAGTTTTGGTGGACAACCCTTTATTGGTTTGTTGTGGTGAATTACATTTCACAGTAAAATCAGAGTTTAGGATTTATTTCTTTTACCTCAGCCCTGATCTGAAATGTTTAACACCTTTGTCTCTGACGTGTATGTAGAGGTTCTTGGTCTTCATGATGTCTCTTGCTCGGTGCTAGCCCATTCTAATTAAAGGTGCTACTCTGGTGGGGGCAATCAGAATGGGTGTATATATGGCAAGATTATTTGACCCTTATGTTATTGGCATTTAATCATCTAACTTCAATAATTTGTAATATTTTGTGTAGGTTTATTACCTGTACGTATAATACAATTGATGGTATTTACAGGTTGTAAAGCAACTATAAAGAAGTAATACAATCAGAGTGGGGTGTACTTTTGCAGTACTAGTAAGTTTGAAGAGATCAATTTTAGCTAATAGTTTAGTCGAAGCTGTTTCATTGAACCTAAACAGTAAAGTCATATTTTATTGGCAAATAAAACTGCACAAATTCTCACTTGAAATTACACAAAATGATACGAGTGCACAAACTTTCAATATACTTTAGTACAAAAATGTATCCGGAGTTTGCAGAAATATTGCTAAACATGTAGCTCAACGCACTAAAACAAAAACTAAAAGAATGGTTTGAGACACCTGAAGCAACTTTTAAGTTTTTTAACCCTCCTGCTGCCCTTGGGTCATTTTAATCCAAGTGCAGCAGGAGGGGGATTAGGACAAAATATGCCGCACAAATTATTTCAATTTCAAAATTCCTGTGACATGAAAGCAAAGCCAACGTCTCTCCTGATTGTCTTTTGCATTTTATTGATGGCAGTTGCAGCCCAGGGGGATACGCGCTGCAGATAAACCAGACATCATGATGACGAGATCATAATGTGCATCTGATTTTACATCAAACAGAAAATTTATGCATCTTCTATTAAAATATGAAACATAAGCACAGCCTTAGCCTTAGAATAGTCTACTGTTTTTACTCAAAGAACTTAAACCATGATATTTATTATTGTGAATGTCAGGTATTAATACTGACACAACACCACACACTCTTTTGGTCAATCCTCTCAGGCCACTTAAATATCATCACAGTGGAGCTCAAATGATCCTCGAATCTGGAAAGGCTGTAAATAAACCTCTCTCAGAAGATGACAGAAAGCCACACTGGGGAGGGTGAGCATGGAAACCAATACATAATCACTGTGACTGGGCCAAGGGTTCAATTATTTGTTTTCCTTGCTCCCAAAAGTTCATGTCAGATGGGTTAGCCATCGGGGCTTATCCATTACCAGCTCGATTCCTCCTCCAGTCCACGGGGGGAGAGCGGAGCCGGGAACAGCAGCTCAATCTCTCCCAGACGACTTTCATAGAAAATGCTATTAAAGCTGTTTGTTGTGGAGATCAGAACGGAACGGGATGTTTTGTTCGTTGCTTTTTGGCTGTTTTTGTTTTAGTTTGTCTTTATCGCAGACATACAGCTGTCACATAAAAATCCCTATACTCCCCCCTCCCCCTTGAAGCCCAGCTGGCCCCTCTCCATCCACAGTGAAATATTGATTAAGTGATAATGGACCCTTAGTGGAGTGTATTTATTATGCATCAGTTGTCGATAATCCGCCAAAGTGAGCGAGTAAAAGGTGACTGGTGGATGTCTTCTCCAATTTCTTGAGCTTCACAGCCCCCCCGCCCCGTCCTGACCATCATCTCTGCTCCTCCTGCTTGTCTTTCACATAAACAACATTGGACATGTTGCACACGCTCGGTAAACGATGAGGACAAGATGGTGGCGATAAGGCTCAGCTGCTCACATCTAATGGCTCCGTGTGAGAAGTCCGTTTATTATTTAGCGTGTAAGCTTCAGGAGCACGAGGACTGAAGACATGAGATGTTTGAAGGCTTCCTGTTAGTTCACAGAACTGTTGTGCTTTCTGATTTCCAAGAACATCAGTGAGCGCTGAATTAATTATCTTTAGGGTTTTAATTAAATGCTGTTCTATTGATTGGTTGTGTAATTAGTCTTCAGATAATCGATGATTATGAACCTATGAAAATTGAGATTATGTCTTTAAGACGTCATGTTAAAGATTTTGAAATGATGCAGAAAAATACAGACATTATTCTGGCAAGATTTTAAAAATCTGTCTCCTTCAGCTGTTTTATCACATGAGACAAGGAGAACTGCTCCCCCCCCCCCCCCCCCACGTGTCCAAATGAGCTTCACATTGCTGTTGTTCCATTTGAAGCAGAATTTCTGGAATTTATTTATTCTGATTTGGATTTTTCTTTTGGATTTTTTTTTCTGATACTTCTCCTGTGCCGTTGGACGAATGGATCTCAAGATCCTCCGCCGACAGAAAAGTGACTTTCGCTAACGTAAAGTGGTCTTTTTCAAAACTAACTTACTGTTTTACATTCTTAGACGAGCTGATAAACTTCCACGTTTGAGGATGTTTACCGTCCGGTCTTGAAAAACGTTGCGGTCACTTCGTTTAATATTAACGAGCTGGTTGAGGCCTGACTGACGGCGACAAACAGGCTGACCCACACTCGGGCTGAAAACGCACCACGTGGGGAAGATAATCCCTCTTTTATCGACGGGAACACTTACACGTACTGCAGCTTGAGGTTGTTTTGGAAAGCGTTGGCAGAGATGAACCTCAGCTTACACGATGTGACGGTGCTGAAGAGGAGAAGATGGAGGGATAAGCAGCAAAGCATAAATGTGACAACACAATTACAGTTTGGCAGAAAAAACACTGGAAGTCATTTCGTGAGGTTCAACACAAACTTGAGGACTTATGGGAGATGTTGCGCTGCTATAGTTTCCAATTATCCGGACTCAAAGGCCATCAAATGTCACGAAACATGTAAAATAACTTGATACTGGTGTAATGGTTGGATGTTGGTCCTGTTGTTTACTTAATAAACTATCTTCTGAACCATATATCAAACCATATTCATTTGAAAGAGCTTATATGATTTAAAGTGATATAAAGTTCACGATTCTGCATTATTCAGTGTCCCTGAGTTTACACAGAACAATGTGAAAAGTACTCCGGCACAAAATTTTGGTAATGTTTCTTCATTTCAGACATTCAGCCGACATTGTTTCATGAATGTGCAACTTTGTTTAGTGCTAAGTGGTTAATGAATTAACCCGTTATAACATTTAATCAGTCAAAAGATTGAGTTTGTTCTCCACTGAGAGCCGTTTTCTATATGACATTAAAATTTTACTGGGTTCAGAAAAGTTTATTCTCACGGATCAAATCAGCCAATATTTGGTTTATAGGTACTTTAAAACAAGCTCTATCACTTTATTGGATTGTTTAAAAAAAAATTGCCAACAAGTAAATAGAGCTTTGATCAAGTCAAAAATTATATATTGAGGCTATCTCACAAATCAAAAGTTAAATACAGCAGGGTTGAGGACCACTGGTCTGTAGAGATAAACCTCAACAGGAATGGTAAATGGACTACTTATATAGCACCTTTCTATCTTATCAAGATATTCAAAGCACTTTACAACAATCTGTGTCCTCATTTACCCATTCATGCAGCACTCTACTACACCTTCACCAAGAATAATCAGCAATTTATCACATTCATACACCGATTGGACACAAATTGGAGGCAATGAGGGGTTCAGTGTCTTGCCCAGGGACACTTTGGCATGTGACTGCTGGTGGAGTCGAACGCCCAACTCTTGCACTGGAGGACGACTGCTCTAACCACTCAGCCACAGCCGCCAGGAGTCACTGGTTTAAAGAGGTACAGTAGTCCCTCGCTACTTTGCGGTTTGACTTTCGCGGTTTTTCAACGATGGTCAACTTTAATATTACTTACGTGATTGGGACGGTACAGGATAAAAAGTTAACGAAAAAATACTTCGGACAGGCGCTGCCATTTTGTAGTTTTCTTTCATTAAGCCTATACTGTAAAGCCAGTCAAAAGGACTACACTACCCAGAAGCCAACAGCGCTTCCAGTCGCCTTTCTGCAGAAATGGAGGGAAAGTTTTGCAACGCAACGTCATAAGTAATGATCTATCTGTTGAGCTCACAGAACTGGCAGGAAACTCGCAAATAGTCCTGAAGCTCAATTGTCCACGTGCACATCAAAGTGGACGGGACGGTGGGCTTCGTCGCTGCAGGGTAGGTTTGTAGAACCGGAACTGAGCGGTTCATCTGCAGAGCTGGTGAGTAAAGTTTTGCTGTACTGTACAGTACATATACGTATGTTGTTAAAATTACGAAAGCGTGTGGGGAAGGGTTTATAAAGCCTTAAAATATATAAATACTAAAATAAATGTAACGTTCCTACTTCACAGTTTTTCACTTATCGCAAGGGTACGTGGAATGTAACCCCCGCGATCATCGAGGGACTACAGTATTTCTCAGCAGTGCTTACAAAGAAACAAATCACACACGGGTGGATGTGGCTGAGTGATTAGAGCAGTCGTCCTCCAATGCAAAGGTTGGGAGTTCGAATCCACCAGCAGTCACATGGTGAAGTGTCCCTGGGCAAGACACTGAACCCCTCATTGGCTCAGATGTGTGTCCCATCGGTGTATGAATGTCAAGGTCAACATTCTTTATTGTCATTCGCACCACATGCGGTACATGTGGTGGAACAAAACGGTGTACACAGGGTCCCAGTTACAACCAACAAAAGTTTAAATTGTAAAAGAAAAACAGTAATAAAATCTAAGATATGAGCTAAGAAATACTGTAAACTAAGAATACGCTAAACACTTAATAGTGCCAAAACAGTAATACGCCAAACAACAGCAGCACGAACATGAGTCTGTGTGAGCAGATGAGTACGAATGAACACAGAATGAGATCTAAAAGCACTGACTACTCTCTTTAGAATGATTTGTTCAATTAGCTTTGTATAGATCTAGTAGAGTGCTGTACGAATGGGTAAATGAGGGCACAGATTGTGTTGTAAAGCGCTTTGAGTATTGTGATAAGATAGAAAGGTGCTATATAATTAGTCTATTAACCATTTACACTGAACTGAACTGGCTTCAAACACAGCAGCCATACAAAACATCAAAGACAAACCAAATTTCTTAAATCTGTTATTTCTATGTAAGGTTTCAAAATCAAACGTAGGCTTCAAAATATTTAGTAAGGTACTTATTGGTAACCTAGAACTTTATTTATGTATTTTATTTCGAAGAGTTGAAAAAGGAAGCAGAAATAAAATGACTGGGCGGGACTTGGCAAAAAAGTGGGTTGTCCTAGATCATGCCACGCCCAGTCATAACCATGTCACTGCTGGTTACAAACCTGTACATAGGTGTCTTACCGCCATAAGAAACAGAGTTAATTATTTTCTTTTAGCAGGCCGTAAGGAAATAAAACTACTTACAGGTTCTTCAGTTCTCGGTAGTAAGCAAGGTCACTCTCTGTTATGTTTTCCAGTCCTGCTTGGTTTTCAATGTAGCTGAAGAAAACAAGACAATCGGAGAGATACAACTAGATTACAGTTTATACTTTTATTCTTACTCGTAAACTTAAACATTTTGTTGTGCGTGGAAAAAATTTTTTTCTCACTGAGTTAAAGTCCCATCCATACGTTTCACCAGCTAATTACTAAAATTCAACCCTAATTACTGAGCTGGAAGATAGAAGAAGGAAAACAGATTTTTGAAAAACCAAATGACCTCACTGGCATCCAGCAAACAAGCTAACAGCATCCAACAAACCCATAGACCCCAAACAACAATCAGAACACAATTACCTGAACATGTAGGGAAAAATTTATGTCTTAATAGACGTGAGACAGACGAGCGTAATGGAAAATACTTCTGATTCATCCTGCCTCGCCGGAACTCGTCATTCAAAGATAAACGTAGGAGCTGCTGCAAGGACAGACGGATCTTTTTATTTTGTTTTAGCCGTGGTTCGACTGGATCGTCCAAGGATCTTTCCAAAACAAACAGTCAACATTTCGCCCAAGAGGACTCTTTAATAGTTGTTTTTTAATGTGACATGATTCAAACATCATAAAGACATATTGTACATAAAAAAAACTTCAGCATTCTCTTAAAAATTATAATATTCCTAAGAAATGTTAAAACAAAACAGTCTAATTTGTGATTTAACCTATGTTCCTATATCAATTTTATGAAGTGACCAACATGTTCCAGTAGGCAGCGTCCACCTGGGTCAGCATAAAACATCCAATGTGTATTACTTCATGAATAAATGTGTAAAACTAGAAAAAAGGACTAAACCCAAAACTAAAATCTATTGATTAAATGAACTCTTAGGTTTTTGTACATGGTAAAAGACTGAAAATGTATGTCCGCCTCAGCTAATTGACTTAACACAATGGGCACAACTCTGTCAGTTTTACAGATTTTGAGCTAAAACTTAGCGCGGTAGTAGCTAAGAGTCATCCCCATCATGTAATCTGAGCATTAACAGATCAAACAATTTAGAACTTGGCATGTAAGGTGGTGGGCTGTATGCATTCCTTGAAGTTATAATGAAAAGCCCTTCATCTCACCTGAGTGAAATACCAAAACAAAAATCGAACTATTTAAAACAGAACAAATTAAAATAAATACCAGTAATAATGAAGCTTTAAACAAGTCATAATTTTCTTCGTAGTTTTCTTCAAAACAGTCAGAATTTCTTATGTTCTTTCAGTTATTCAGTTATAGTGACTCACATCAAAACAAACATCAACATCAACGAGGACCCTCATCAGTATGCATACCACGAGAACCGATCAACAGAGGACACCATCTCCTCTGTGGTCCACACTGCGCTCATCCACCTGGAGCAGAAGGACTCCTACGTCCGTATGCTCTTTGTGGAATTCACATCCGCCTTCAACACCATGATTCCTCAAACCCTGATGGACAAACTATCCACACTAGGACTAAGCCCCTCCATTTGCAACTGGGTCCTGGACTTCTTAACAAACAGACCACAGTTAGTGAGGATCCACAACTTCTCCTCCTCCACCATAACCCTCAGCACTGGCTCTCCTCAGGGATGTGTGTTGAGCCCCCTCCTGTTTACTCTGCTCACGTATGATTGTGCAGCTACCCATCCAGGCTGTCACATTGTAAAGTTTGCAGATGATACAGCGGTGGTGGGATGCATCACAAACAATGATGAGTCCAGCTACAGGCAAGAGGTGGAACACCTGGAGAGCTGGTGCAAAGAGAATAACCTTCACATCAATGTGAAGAAGACAAAGGAGATGATTGTGGACTTCAGAAGGAACAAAAACATTTACACCCCCCTGAACATAAGAGGATCTGCGGGTGAAGTAGTCTCCAGCTACAAGTACTTGGGTGTACACATGAATGACAACCTCAGCTGGAGCAACACCACCACCAGCCTGATCAAGAAAGCTCATCAGAGACTCTACTTCCTCAGACGGCTGAGACGAGCTGGTCTGGAAGCTCAGTCCTCACCTCCTTCTACAGGTGTGCAGTGGAGAGCATCCTGTGCTCGAGCATCAACGTGTGGCATGGAGGCTGCACAGCTGCAGAAAGAAAAGCTTTGCAGAGAGTGGTGAAGGCTGCACAGAAGATGTTGGAGTCAGTCTCCCCACCATCACAGACATCTACACCTCCAGATGCAGGAAGAGGGCTACCTGCATCATGAAGGACCCCACTCACCCAGCACACACACTTTTTGCCCCACTCCCATCAGGAAGGAGGTTGAGGATCATTAAGTGTAGAACCACTAGACTGAGGAACAGCTTCTACCCTGAGGCTGTTAGACTCATGAATCTCTAACCAGAATAATCACTGTGAAAAATCATATCATGTTGCTGCTGATCTGTTTCATGTTGCTGCTGATCTGTTTCAATGTTGATGTGTTCATGCGTGAACATCTGCTCACAGACTCATGTTCATGTTTGTGCTGATGTTCAATGTTTTATGTTATGAGTGCTTAGTGTATATTTAGTTGATGTTTTTCTTAGTTCATATCTTAGATGTTATTACTGTTTTTCTTATACATTTTATTGTTGGATGTAACTGGGACCCTGTGTACATAATTTCGCTCCACCACATGTACCACATGAGGTGTGAATGACAATAAAGTATCTCTGACTCTGACTCTTATTGTATCTCTAGACTTTCTAACATTGTATGAATTTATTTGGACTTTGGCTGTTTTTTTTTTAAACTAGTTTTCATTTCTTGCACCTGACCACGACAACATTTTGTTCAATAAACTTTCTCCTGCAGATAAACAGAATCTGACAGACGTGGCTTTAGGAAACAGAGGAGAACAAACTGAGATTCTGTTTCACAGAGTTCAAGTGGCAGCAGATCTTGAAAACTCCAAGAAATACACATTGGTTATTAGGCTGCTGGTATTTTCTACTTTAGTTTGTTTTGGGTTCAGTCACTGACTTTGTGAGACGTGTAAAAGATTATATCTTTGGTTTACCCCGTTGAGCATGGAAGAGGAGGTATGATGGTGTGGGCCTGTTTCTAGCTAAAGGGACCTTTTTCAAAGACAAAGTCAAAGTTTCTTTATTCGTCATACACGCCACATGTGGTACATGTGGTGGAACAAAACTGTGTACACAGGGTCCCAGTTACATCCAACAAACGTATAAAGTGTCAAAGAAAAACAGTAATAAGAAATAAGATATGAACTAAGAAAAACGTTAACTAAAAATACACTAAGCACTAGTAGCACAAAAACAATACACTGAACAGCAGCACAGACATGAGTCTGTGTGAGTGAACACAGCAGCATGAAATACATCAGCAGCATGAGATCAGCAGCATGTATAATCAGCAGCACATATCAACAATGAAGTGGCATTACAGTGATTTTTTTTTTTCACAATGATTATTCTGGTTAGAGATTCAGGGTAGAAGCTGTTCCTCAGTCTAGTGGTTCTACACTTAATGTTCCTCAACCTCCTTCCTGAGGGGAGCGGGACAAAAAGTGTGTGTGCTGGATGAGTGGGGTCCTTCATGATGCAGGTAGCCCTCTTCCTGCATCTGGAGGTGTAGATGTCTGTGATGGTGGGGAGACTGACTCCAACATCTTCTGTGCAGCCTTCACCACTCTCTGCAAAGCTTTTCTTTCTGCAGCTGTGCAGCCTCCATGCCACACGTTGATGCTGGAGCACAGGATGCCACTGCACACCTGTAGAAGGAGGTGAGGACTGAATGGCCCAGATATGATGCAAGTTTGTGTTTTTATTGATATGTGTGGAAGTTTCAGGCTCCACCCCTGTTTAATGATGGACTGTTTCTTTTCACAAAGATGGCCTCCTTTACTCCTCTCTCAAACCGTCGTTCCTCTCTATCCAGGATGTGCACATCTTCATCCCTGAACGAGTGACCGCTGGCCTGGAGATGAGTGTAGACCACAGAGTCCTGGCCTGATGATGATGATCTTCTGTGCTGGTTCATCCTTTTGGCCTGTGGCTGTTTTGTTTCCCCGAGGTAAGACTGATCACCCTCCTGACACTGAACAGCATACACAACATTACTCTGTTTGTGCCGGGGGACTGGATCTTTGGGATGAACCAGTCTTTGCCGTAATGTATTTTGGGGTTTAAAAGCCACTGGGACGTTACGTTTAGAAAATAAACGTCTCAGTTTCTCTGATACTCCCTCAACATATGGAATGACCACTGGTCTGGGTCTGGGTTCCTCCTTTTCACCTGATGGCTGACTGGAGTCCTGTTTGGGTTTCTTCTCTGCTTTCAGGAAGGCCCAGTTAGGATATCCACATTGCTCTAGAGCCTGTTTTGTGTAGGATTTCTCCTTCTGCCTGGCTCCCGAGTTAGTGGGGACGCTGTCTGCTCTGTGATACAGAGTCCTGATGACTCCTAACTTGTGCTCCAAAGGGTGATGGGAGTCAAACTGCAAATACTGGTCTGTGTGGGTGGGTTTGCGGTACACCTCAGTTTGCAAATGTCCTCTACCAGAGACTGAGACCTCACAGTCCAAGAAAGCCAACTTGCCATTTTTTACATCTTCTCGTGTGAACTTGATGTATTTATCCACAGAGTTGATGTGGTCAGTAAAATGTTGGACTTCCTGAGATTTAATTTTAACCCAGGTGTCGTCAACATACCTGAACCAATGACTTGGAGATTTTTGGATTATGTTGAGCCTCGCTACATCGTCCCCAGTCGGAGATATTTCTCCGACGTAGCCTTACCCGAGTTGCAAGCCATCATTGAGAAGCTAATAGCCGATAGCACTTGGGTGAGTTTTACCACAGACATTTGGGCATCAAGTGTTAGCCCCATTAGCATGATTAGTCTTACGGTACAATGGATAGACAAAAACTTTGAACTTAAAAAGGCTGTCCTTCATGCACAGGAGTGCAGAGGATCCACACTGCAGCTATAGGAACCTGGAACGAGCCTCCACAAGTGGGACAGCATCGCAGGTGACTAATGGTAATAAATAACATTTAACACATTTTATTTAATATAAGTTAAAGTGATATGCATATCATACTGAATTACTGAATACTGTATATGTCACCAGCTCTTACAGCTCTTACACAATTTTTGTATCAAATAAGCCTAAATAAGAGGGCTATGTTCTGACAGAGGAAAGTATATTAAAAATATCGGCATCTGTTATCGGCCAAATAAGCTTTAACATAACGGATATCAGATATCGGCCAAAAATCCAATATCGTGCATCCCTAGTAGAAAGTTTATAAAATTGTGAGGTTTTGTATTCTGAATGTAAGACAGAGTTTTAAACACGTTTATTTGTGGATGCAACGTCTGACTTATTGCTGGAAGAGAGGATGATTTAGAGCTTTCCAGACCAGCCTGTCCGCTCTTTGTCCGAGCAGCAGGTTGTAAACTTTCTCTCTTCTTGTCTGTAAACACCACAAACCTTTGTTATAGGAGGTTGTAAAGTACTTGTGCAAAAGGCATGTCTCAAACAGCTTCAGTCTTTGAGAATTGGGCATTTTTTGTTGTGGCAAGTATTTACATAACTATAGTAATGCATGTCTGACACCACAAGCTGCATCTTTAAAAGACTGTTGAATCTGTCCCGCAGTGTTTTTATTTTTATTTTTTGGACTAAACTTACATTAGCTTATATGACTAAAGTTTTTTTTACAATGTCAAGTATAGTGTACTCTTATCAGCCTTTTAAAAAGCATTTAGAAATTCATCTCATGACCTTTTATTGCCTTTTCATATGCATATTTTATTGCTTCTTTTAAATAGCTTTTCCAGCTGCCATTATTCCTTTGATTTTTTTTTTATAACGTCCTTTATTCTTCGCTTTTGTCCTTTTTAAAGTTTAGTTTTTGTTCTGCAGAGCTCTTTGAATTGTATCTCTGCTTGAAAGGTGCTATAAATAAGTGACAGGTTTGATTTTGCTCAGCGAACAGCGTGAAAAGTAGACAGAAGGGTATAGAAAGTTTATTTGAATAAAAAATAAATTGAATGGTGTACCTGCAGCACTTACAGCGTGTGGCACTGTTTCAACTCTGCACTTCCATGTTTGTCAGCTGCAGCTCACGAACCTTTATATTCATGTTTGATTGACCTGTGCAGCAATAATGTGATTACAGGGCAGGTGGGCCCAGGATCGCCCATCGGCCTCGCTTATTGGATTGAGCCAAGTGGGTTGTATATCATCTATTGTTCCTGGGTGGGGGCATTGACTGGCAATTCACAAAATTGAATTTATAACTATGATAAATTCCAGGTCCTGTTCCACAGTTAATGGCCCCTTGTTCGTTCCACACGCCGCCTGTATTTCCCCGCACTGCCAATACATCCAAGTGTTGTTGTTTGCTGGCATGTAGAGCGGCTCGGTAAACAGAGGCCTGCTCTCTTATTGATTGGACCTCTGAGGGAAAATGTCAAGCCTGCGCTCTGCCAAACGGCATGCAGATACAAGGAAATACCTCGGAGGTAAGCGGGAGAGGATACGGGAGAGAAATAAGACCCGGGTGAGACAGAAAAAGCAGGAGAGTACTGCATAGGTGAAGGAAATTGGCAGTAAATTGACTTGCTCCACCAAAAAAAAAAAGCATTTCACAAACGTAGTTCTTTCTTAACAAGTGCTAATTGCGCTGATCCGGGTACAGGAACAAAGGGAGAACAGCATGGCGGTGCAGAGAGTGACATTTAGTTTCCCATGCAGGAGCTGATGGTGGGTTGCTTAATAATACAGCAGCTCTCTTTAAATCACAGGTGGTCAGTTTCTTCTGCTTTTTCCCGAGCAAAGTTTTAAAAAGCCAACGTTAAATAACAGCCCTTTTTCGTCGACACGCTGCTGCAGAGTGAGACGCCTCGGTTCATCCGAGCTGAGCTTCATTCAAGCACGTCCCCCCGCTGTTAGTCTGTCCGTCAAACGTGTAATGATAGAAACGTGTGGCACATTCGGCTGCGACGAACGACCACTTCATCAGCCATCCTCTGTTTCAGAAAGGAACTGGAAGGAGCGTCAATTCACTAAATTAAAAAAGTAATGCAAGCAAGAACGAAATTCAATATTTGGCCACAAAAGTGCCCGTCTGTGTTGGGATCGTGATGACAAAAAATACGTGAAGGACTGACTTCTATTTTGGTTTGTGTCTACATGTTGGTGAAAGAAAGGCTTCTTTTGAAAATCTGAATCAGAATAAGTTTTATTATCATTGTACTGAAATACAGTGAGATTATGTTCGTACAGTCGTCCGAAAGATGGGCGGAGTGCACGTTGCTGCTATACTGGAGCGCGGCCCCTTATCCTTTTTCAGAATACTTTTTCCAGATTCAAATAAGCCACAATTGTTGATTTTTTCCAGGCAGACTTTTTTCTTGTCAGCCTTGAGTCCTGCTGGTACTATCGATCCCAAAATGGCCAGACTTGTGGGCATTCCACTGGTCTGTGCTTATGAGCCCCCTCCAAGGTCATCTCCACATGCTGGCGAGTCCCAGAAACCGCAGGGGGCCTGTGATTCTCACAAATCACTTCCATCTTACAGTTTAGCTCGTAAATCAGCTGATTTTGAGTACTCGAAGCATGAAATTGGCCAACATCATATATATGTAAACCGACCACTTCTATCGTTTGCGGAAACTTCAATTTATTGCCTAAAAGTGTAGTTTCCTCTAATGAGTCATGGCCACCATTGGCCACCCACTGGCTCCACCACAGTGCGGAGCTGTGGATAAAATTGCTTCCTCTATTCCTCTCCACAGTGTAACTCCTACCCACTTGAATATCTTGCACCTAAACCAGTAAGGTTTACTTACATTGCCTGTTCAATCCCAGTCCAGAAAAAGACTCATCTCAAAAACTACAAACATTCACTGATCCAATCCTTCAGCGCCGGGGGGGGGGGGGGGGGGTGTACCTGCTTGTTAAAATGATGAGCTCTTTGTTATTTTGTTTGTAACTAACTTCCATGAGCAGAAACATGGTGGGTTATAAACACAAACAGATAAAAAGTCAAGCTTTGCTTCGAAACTGCATCGATTTGTCACAGCAGCAAACAAAAAGTCGTCCTTTAGTGCTTTTTTAAAGTTCTGATGAAACCCCCCTTTTTTTTTTAAATTACAAAACAAACATTTCAAGGCTACACTCAGGTTTCAGCTTCAACTCTAAACCTGAGCTGCAGAAACCTGATGAAGATCTGGAGACATCATAGCGTTAGCCAGTGCACGGATCGTGGCTTGCAGAGACTTTATCCCACAGTAACCACATCAAGAACAGCAAATGAACTGCAGGTCAGTGAGTTTCAAACTTTTTGTAATGCGGACCACTAAGTTCTCCAAGTAATTCTCACAGCAACAGACATGAAACGCAGTCATACATATAAAAAAACACACGAACTGGTCAAACCCCTAACTCCAGCTGGGCGAAGGCTGCAGCTTCCAGTGGGACTGTTCCCTGCATTGCCTGAAGTCTTGGCTTCTTTACATTTAAAGCACAAGTTTGAGGCAACTTGAATCAATTAATTTTGCTGTTTTGCACCTGTTGTTGCCGGAAGATCCTACAGAGACCTTCTGCACACTCACTGAGTAAACCATCATCCACCACTGTTTCCATGTTCTCAAAACATCTGCATGGTAGTTTTTTCCTTTAAAATATTGTCCATCATTGTCACCATCTGTCATCTTTTTAGTAACTTTAAATGTACATCACAGTTCACCTCATGACCAGCGGTATTTTGAGAACCGATGCTGAAGATTGTTATTAACACATGCAGACAATTTTCATTTCACTCTGCGCAAATAAAAATGCAACTTTGCATCAAAAACCATCTGATTTAGCAACACCCGTCAGCAAAAAGCCTTGCTGTGAATGATTTCACCATCAAAGTACAAAAAAACGATTTGCTGCAAAAGTCCTGCTTTAAAGAAATCGCCCATTCGTTCGTGGATTTTAGGCCAAAGCTCTTGGAAAGTTACAGAGCTCCAACTTTATCTGTTTTTCTGTCATTCATGGCCTTATAGTTTGATCTCATTCACAACTGAACTAGAAGAGCAGCACAAACAGATAACCCTCAACAAGTGAACTCAAAGAGGAAAGACAATCAGAGCAAGTTCAGCAGCAAAGCGTGGACATCAGTTTTCAAACCAGCAACCTTCCTGTTCATTCAGCAGAGCAGCTGAGAGCCCATACTCACATCTCTGTCACGTTCTCGCTCTCCTGTGGTACCAGAGGAGGGATGCTGCTGATCCCATTTGGCTCCAGGCACTGCAGCGTGGCGAAGGGGCAGCGGCAGGCCGATGGGCATCCCCCTGAGGTGGGTGCAGGTGACAGGCTCAGCACAGCCAGCACCAGGGGCAGAAGAAGCGCCAGAGCCCCAGGTGGCACCGCCATCTCTTGAGAAACTCCTCAGCACCGTCAGGGATGGAGCAGGAGTGAGTGTCTGTGTGGTTCACCTAATGAAGAGATGATGAAGAGTGGTGAAGAGCTTCCCACCCTCCTCGCCCAGTTCTGAAGCAAGCTTAAGATTCCAGCTGGTCAGGGTTTGGTTGGAAGCCACAGCTGTACTGAGCAGCAGGAGGGGCAGGCTCACGAGCAGACTGAGGGCCCCGGGGGACACGGTGGGCTGGAGCCTCTCGTTTTTTCTCCCTCTCTCCTCGTCTCCCCCACAATGAAGGGAGGGGCAACATAACAACATGGGCCCAAGTCACCAGACACCTCAGTGAGCTAAGCGGGGCAGTGGGAGGGGTTGGAGGTGTGTGTGGATGGGGATGAGCAGAGATGATGATGCTCCTAGAGGCAGCTCGAGGTGTGATGGGGGCCAAGAAGTCGGGGCTCCTGGGTGCAAGACTGTGACACCTCGTCCCCTGCAGCAGCGTCCCTCAGCATGGGTGGAGGGCTGGTCGTTTAAGAGTTCACGATTGTTGACTCTTGCAGGTCGCTGTTGAATTTAATCCTTGTGAGCATGTGAGTGAGGGTGGGGCACACGTTAAAAGCTGCGTGAGCTCCCAACGATGGTCTCAGCTTTTTGTTCACGTGCAGTCACTGGAAAATATGAGATCTGTTTTTCAGTCAGCCGATCTATAACCTGACTGAGCTGATGAGGGTGGAGGAGGAGTGTCCCTCTGAAGTAAAGTTTCCCTTTTAAATTAAGACCTAAAAGAGGCTCCCACTGTTGACAATGTGTGTGTGTGTATATATATATATATATATATACATATATATATATATATATATATATATATATACACACACATATATAATACAGTAATATGACATATCTTTGTGAATGGCATTTGTATGGATAGAAGTGGGCAACAAAATGTTGTAATGGCCAAGAAAGTAGAGATGCACAGAAAAAACAGGCTGTGGTTTTCAAAAATTGATCACCAAAATAGGCAGCACGGTGGCGCAACTGGTAGAGTTGCTGCCTCTCAGCGAGCAGGTCCCTGGTTCAAACCCCGGTCCAGGGGCCTTTCTGGGTGGAGTTTGCATGTTCTCTCCGTGCATGCGTGGGTTTTCTCCGGGTGCTCCTGTTTCCTCCCACAGACCAAAAACATGCATGTTAGGCTGACTGGTAACTCTGAATTGTCCCTAGGTGTGAATGAGAGAGCGAATGGTTGTTTGTCTCATTTGTCTCTATGTGTCTCTGTGATGGACTTGCGACCCGTCCAGGGTGTACCCCGCCCCTCGCACAGTGATTGCTGGACATGGGCACCGGCGATCCCCGTGACCCAAAACGGAATAAACGGGTAAAGATAATAGATGGATGGATCACCAAAATACAAACGCACGCCGAGTCTCCAACGTTCACAATCAAGCGAGATCCCGGCACTGATTGAATCTTTACCAGCTGATAAGATGCATCAGAAAATAAAAATAAAAATAACAGCAAACCACCTGCAGATCACTGCACAGCCCAAGTTTGATCATGACCAACTTAATCACTGACTTTATGAAATATTTTAAGGCTATAAACATAAATGTTGACATGAAACCAGTTCTGGTTTGTTTATATCTGTGGTACAGTCATCATGGGTGTACACTGGTCTCCTATCTGGATCTGGCTGGGCCAGAACTCAGATCTAACCAACCTCTGTCAGCCCGGCTGCTGGACCAGTTGGTGAGCAGGGTCTGAATAAAAGCAAACATTAATTTACATTTTACTAATTATGATTTTAAAAACTTTGCCTATCATTACATTTAAATATAAGAATCTTATCAATGTCATTTAGTGAAGTGAAACTGGTAGTTAATGGATCTGAGCTGGGAACGGTCTGGGAGCTGAACGAGACGACTCTTTTTGGTTAGCTGAGCCAAATGAGAGTCCCCGCTGAACTCCACGTGCCATCAGTGACTAATCCAACGTCCACAAACATCAGCCTGCTGCAGAGACAACATGTGCTCTCTGCTGGTTTCTCCCCATGTGATGCGTCCTGCGCCCCACCCTGACTCCTCTCAATCACTCTGCACATGAGTCAGGTCAAAGTGTCCCGACCACAATTACTGGCCGAGAGCTGAATCACCATTTTTGCTGCTGTCATCAGAATTATCTGCTGTCTTAATGACTTTGCCTTCAGAGACCCTTTTTCCAGGGTCTTAGCTCAGCAGAGTGGAGGGACCAGGCGCTCATTCACAGGAACAGTGTCCGGCAGACAAAGTGAAGCTGTTAAAGGGGGAAAAAAATGCATGAGAAGCAATGTGGGTCACATCATCTGCACATGTTTATGGTATAAACATATATAATTAATTGTGCACAGCTTTGCTTCATTTGTTTGCTGAAATAAGACTTGCACACCCCTCCATCAAACGACCTGCAGCCTGGAGCACCTAACGGGCCAGGTGTCTGTGGGGCATCTTTGTGCAAGGATTAGAAAAATGAGAGGAAATTAAATGTTATTACCAATGGCAATAACTCAGTCGCTTTTACAGATACTGAGGTCAAATCTGGTGTGGTAGTAGCTGAGAGTCATGGACAACACACTTTGAGAGATTACAGACATCTTGTTTTTGCAAGTTAGTGTGTGGTATGCATTATTCACAGGAAGCCAATTAAATTTATATTCATTTTTATTTTTGACTCTACAAACAGTTTATTAAATGTTCATCATCACGTCATCTATGATGACAGATTTTTTTTAACGTTGCCAACATCCTTTAAACGTCTTTAAGTATTACATTTTAAAGAAAAAATAAATTCTTAAAGACAGCTGGCGTCATCATTTTGTGACGTTAATGTAGCCAGTTAACATCTGTTCTTTTTTGTCCTTTAAAAAAAAAAACGTACCAATAATTTTAAAAACTTAATGTAATTATCTGCGAACCGATTTCATTGGAACATTGCGTGCGTTTGACAGATAATGGTCTCACTGGGTTTTTAATTCGATTAGTGTTTTTGTGCATTATGTTGACTGATGGTCTCAGCAGGGGTTAATTGCGACACTTAGTTATGAAATCAATCTTCTCGTTGAAGACAAAGAAATTCTCTGGTTAGAAATCACTCAGAGGCTGCTGCTTCCTGTTGGACAGACTTGACCGTGTTACCGTTTATATCTCCACCACGTTTCCTCCGTCTGCATCGCAGATGATTTGTCGAAACATGCAAGATCTAACAAGCTGCAAGAGCTGAGGTAAGAGGACAAGCTTGATGGTGCTCTGAGGTTTCTTACTGTCAGTAAAATTCAAGAAGTTTAAATTATAGTATTTCAGCATGTAGTAACTCCATACACCTAAATATATGTTCCCAAGTAAAACACCAATTCTAAAACTGTTAAATGTAAATTTAAGCAGAATGCAACGAGTTGCAACTCTCATAAGCCAACGTTTTATTTAAAATAGAATATAGTAAACATGTTAAAAGTTTAAACCATGAAATAGATTTTTTTTAAAAGGTAATTTTGAATATTTCGGTAGTAGCACGTCTAAAAACACTGGACAGGTTCATCCCATCTTCTCTTAACAACAGTCTGTAACAGCCAGGACCTCAGGAGACCAACTGTTGGACGGTTTGGAGGGGGATGTTGTCCCGTTCTGATCTGATGGAGGATTCGAGTTGTTCAAAAACAGTTCTCGCTCTTCTTTGCTTGATTTTTTTAGTTTTATGATGTGCCAGATGTTTCCAGTAGTGAGAAGTTGGTTTTGCGATGTCAGACCTTCTCTAATAAAGATGTCATCTGGGTGGTGCTATGTCTTGTTCTAAAACCTGTTCAGACTGTTCTACATTGATTTTTCAGATGCATAAGCTGCCCAAGTCAGAAGCACTAATGCACCCCCATACCATCAGCGAGGCAGCGTTCAAACTGCGCTCTAACAGGCTGGGCGGTCTCCTCCACCTCACTGCAGAGGGCGTGGTGTCCGAACGCAGAACAGTTCTCCAGTTTGACTCAGTCCATTTCAAATGAGCTTTGAGAAGATGGCGTCTACTTGTTCTCTCTCATCCTCCAATTGGAAAGGAAGTGATGATTTTATTAAAGTAAAACTATTATTATAATTTCCAAATATATTTGGATGGAACTGCTCATTTTCTCAGCTGGTTAGCACTGTCGCCTCACAGCAAGAAGCTTCAACATCTGGCCAGGTGTGGTTTGCACGCTCCCCATGTGTGTCTTTAGGTTCAGTTCTCCAGAAGCTAACTGAGAACGCTACATTGAACCTATAGGTGTGTGTGTGTGTGTGTGTGGTTGTCAGCCCTTTCATGAACTGGTGACCAGGGTGAGCCTGCCTCTCGCCCCCTGTCCACTGGAGGAACACATCAGGTGTGTGCGACCCTGAACAGGATCAAAGTAGAGGAAACAACTAGATGGAGGAACAAACTTTAGACTAATCACTGCAAGCCTAAAGGCAGTCAGCTGATTGAACTCTTGATTGAAGAGCTTCAATCTTTCTGCCTTTATTTACTTTAATAAACCTGAGCCTCGCATGCAGGCCACTTTTTCTTAAGTGCTTTTGGCCTCTTTTCTTTTGAACCAGCGTTGGGAGGTAGAACAGAGCGTCCACGGTAGAGGCTGAATACATGCAGAGGAGAAGACACTGAGCAAGGCTGCACTTCTGTCAGTGCCTTAAACGATAATCAGTCAGTTTCATTTTAATGGCCCGCATCGAGGGGGGGGGGGGGGGGGGCTTAACAAGAGAACAAGCAGGTGAGTAAAAGCTCTTTTGGATCAAGTACAATCAAAGGGTTTTACATTTGAACTGGTAAAAGCATGAAGCTTCCATGTTTCAATCAAGTCGTGATAAAATGAGTTGTTTTGCATGAAACTAAACCAAAAAATGCAACATGCATGCACGTTGGTCAGATAAATGATCACGTTTACGATAATAAAAAATGAAAATTAATTCAACCATTATTTTTACATGTTAATCCCGTTGAGCCTCGAGGACTCATTTACAAGAGGGACCTGATTTCGACAAAGAATGATGACAACAATGGACAAGAGCGACTATTTAAT